AAATACCGACTCTCAAAATTTTATAAAGCCCAAGAAAAGAGCCTGCCAATGCTTGGCACCAGAAATTAGCATAAATAAAGTCAAGCCGCTCGGCAATATAACACACTATTCCATAAGCAAACAATATCAGAAAAAACTTGCGCACCTATTGACTTTGTGATTAAAAATATTATCGCAATCCAGTTAAAAATAGAGTAGAAAACAAACAGTCTCTATGCCGAAAACCTACCGTTTCGTATAATAAAAATCCTACAAAGGGATCACGTCTGATCAAGCGCGCATTTTTACCACATATACATACATATGTATCCTAATTACTGTAGTAGTGCCAACTCAGGAAAGCTTGTCTAGGCTATTTTAGAGGATGCCCAAAAACTCGATGTCTCTAGTAGAATATTCGGTTTTTGGCGCTCGTGGCAGATTTTGCAGAAAGACGAAGATGATATCCGGAATCAGTTCGTCAAACTGCATCGAACCATATATATTTAATAGTTCTTCAAGAAATTTTCGGCTCACTTTTATCGAAAAATCGGGCCCAAAATCATGCCCTTTCGTATATTCTAAACGATACAAAGGGATAATGTTCAATCGAGCGCGCATTTTTACCAGACGCTCTCACATATGTATTCTACTTATGATAGTGGTGCAAACTCATGAAACTGTTCGAAGGCTATTTTACAGGATGTCCAAGAATTACAGATTTCTGATCGAAAATCCGGTTTTAGGCTTCCACATTATGCTTTGAAGAAAAATTAAGGTGATACTCGGAATCAGCTCATCGAGCTGCATCAGACCATATATAAAAAGAGTTATTTTTGTGAAAGTAAATTTTGGCAAAATTCGACCGACAGCGACTGGTCTGACCGGAAATCTGGTTTCAGACATTCATATTACACTTTGAAAAAATTAAGGTAATATTCCGAATCAGCGTATTAAACTAGTTCGAATAATATGTAGCTGAACATATTTTTCAAAAATAATTTTTTCGGAAAATTATGACTGAGGTCCTTCCCAGCCATAGTTTTGCGAAATTTTTTTTTCTAAGAAAACCTTTTATTTTCTTACAAACGATTTTTTAAGTGATATACTGTCATTTATAGTCAAATGAAAGCCATTCCTAATAAAAAAACTACATGTCCGCCTGCGGATGCGAAAGCTCCCCACTGTGTGACGGCCAAAAAAAGCGAGCTCTAAATTTAGAGTTTACGAGTTTCTAGTTTTTCAACAAATTGCAGACTGTAACTCCGTGCTTTTTTTTTTTTGAACATCACCAGTCGACGCAGCATAATCAAGAATATCGATTTGATCTATCACAAACAGAGGGTTATAGGTGTGAGTTAGAATTTTCCATGAAAACTAGACAATCGTAAACTCCAAATTTGGAGTACACTTTTTTCAACCCTGTGTGAGGGTGCCACGGAAACCTTTATGACATACCGATTAGCACATATCTCTCTTGCTGAGGGTGCTTCGAAACCATGATTACACATGAAAAACACATACCCCACCGGGTCACGCGAAAATAATCAATTCGAAGATTTTTGTCTAAATTCGACAAAGATCATTCAGTTAGAAATCTATCTTTCATGTAGAATCACAATTTTCAAGCACCCTCAGCAGACAGATATGTGTGTGATAAAGATTTCTGTAGCACCCTCAATAAGCGGGATTTATATGTATTCGTTTTTCTATCTCAAAACGATCATCTACCTTCCAGCAGTGTTCAGACTTCCTAAAAAGGAAATATCAGAAATTTCGGAGATTTCAAGTATTTGTGTTCTGAATTTTACGTTTCTTCCGAAAATGATGTAATTTCAGAAATTTCTGAAATATTCGCAATTATGTACTTACAGAAATTTCTGAAATTACAGAAATTGCTAAAATTTCTGTACTTTCCAATATGTCTAAAAACTTTTGATTTGCACTGCTATATAGTTATCGAGCTGATGGAAATTTCAGAAATGTGGGTAATTTCCTTTTTTGGAAATCTGAGCATACCTCCTACCTCCTACACATTTGTTTCAAAATGGGACAGGATTCAGCAGAAAAAAAGTTCATAATTCTTGTTTGATTATTTGCATTTATAGCTAGATCTGTGTGGAAGAACAGGCTCGTTCTTTATTTTGAGGGTGAGTATAGCGACCACGATAGCTAGTTATTGTGGTCGCTATACTCACCCTGTCCTACACTTGGTGATTCCGCCATTGAACATGGTAGATTATAGTATTGTATAATCAGATCTCTGATCATTGAATCAATACATGCCACTTGATAAGATAAATATGCAATATCGAAATAACTAGTTATCGTGATAGCTATACTCACCCTCACCCTCTGTAGAGTGACTAGCTTGTTCATCGAGAAGTCGAACGATGCACTATTCACGGCCTCGGTGATGCACATCAGGTTGAGGCGACTCATTCCAATAGGAATGATAGTGTAAGGGCTCTCAGAGATCAGAAGTCTGAATTGGACGTCAATATCTTGATTTATGAATGCTTTTCTATTTCAGTCACCCATCTCTTGCTGCTGTTCTTCGCGATGTTTTATTGAAACGTAGAAGCTGAGTTTTCTATTTCCTGGATTGTTTTGATGGCGATCGGCATTTCATCTTTTCTGCTTCATTTTCTTCTCAGATGCCCTACTTGTTCAAGATTGACAAGACCTTTTTTCATCATATTGATCCTCTTGGAAATACTGCCGCTATTTGTTCGGTTTCATTTTCATGACCCAAAATATTTTTTATCCAACCTAGTTTTACCGTGCGTATTACCGATCATGCGGTCTACCTCGTTTAATTTTTTTATTGTTTGTTCAATGTTCTCTCAATTCATCTTTCGGTCGCGGTCACTTTAACGTATGATCACCGAGAAAATGGGTAAAATGAAAAAGTCGTCGACATCTTGATGCGTGAGTATGAGTATAGATGAAAATATCTTTTTTACAACGTCATCTACACTCAGACTGATCTACGGCTACATCTATATTCATTCTGAAACATATCAGCATGTACACTCACTCATAGCCACCTATCATAAGATGTATGGGGAAACGATTCAACATGCAATTGTCCAACAGTAAACTTTATTGAGTGTCAGTGGTTGGTTTTTTCCAACTTTTAGAAGAACAGAACAAAGTCAATATTCGAGCAAAGCAAAACTGAGTCAGTGCGCTGGTAGAAGTGTTCCAGTGTTATAATTTAGCATACGAGAATCTTTTAAGAAGATGCGCGCGTATGGGCATAATGATTGAGTGTGGTTTGTTCGATACATGGATAAAGAAGCAATATTTATTGCTTTCGGTGAGAGTCATACTCCCATTTATCGGTGCTTGCGCTACTGTTGTCAACAGACATTTTATATTCACTTATCAGTCACGTGTCTGTATGTTATTTTAGATACCCGTTAGAAAACAGATCGGACACTTCATTTTGGTTTATTTTTATTGGATTGTCGTATTCAAGTCAAGTGTAAGGCACAATCTTCAGCCTAATCTGTTTGAATCTTTGCGTGTAGTATTCGTAACAGATTTACATAAGTTTTTAGCTTGTCGGCACGTAAGATATATCCTGAGTATTGATTCCTAGATCCACATCGTATTCTCAAATTTATACATACACTTCTTTCTGATATATTTAAAAATCTATCATGAAACGGGAAAATTCATTGGTATGGCCATGTCGTTGTTTTGCGTCTAGTATGAACAAATATGCAACATTACTTCATCTAGCTACTCAGAGAAGTGATATTGAATGGATAAGAGAACTCCTAGTGCGGGGTGCATGTGTCAATATAACGGACTATCGTGGTAAAACTCCTCTTCATTATGCTATTGATTTAGATCAGTACGATGTCATAAAACTACTGTTGAAAACCAATGCTGACATCAATATGATGGGCAAAGATAAACTTAGCAGCCCGTTACATTACTCCGTGAAAAACAATCGGCCGGTTGCTGTTAAGTTACTACTAGAGGCTGGTGCTCGAATTGATATTGAGGACAAGAATTCTAGTCGCCTGACACAGTTTTCGTTCACGAGCAGACGTACCGATTACCTGCAGTCGCTATTGAACGCTGAACTTGCGGATCCTAGACGGCATCGTCTACTACATCCGGCTACTCACTTAGCAGCAATCCTCGGATTTTATGATCTATATTGGTTAATGTTTAATGAGTATAATATTAGTATTAATCTGCGTGATCAAACATTTTCGACTGTACTTCACTATGTGGTAAAAAGAGGAGATCTTGAAGAAGTAAAACGATTAGTAATAAACGGTGCAGATGTTAACTTACTAGATAATCGTAGTTGGAATGTATTACAATACGCAATACAATTTGGTTTTACTTCTCTTGTACTGTATCTGATAGAAAACGGTGCTGTTGAGAATAAACAGTGTCTGCCAGAACATGAGCCACTATGCCTGGCAGCATTCTGTCGGCATACAGAAATATTGCGCATATTAATCTCTATTTATGATTTCATCAACCCACATTTGTTGTGGAACATGGTTCTTCGTTCGTCGATTGTCAACGGCGATATGAATAACATGATTGGCGCTCTAGAAATGGGAGCAAGATTAGACTCATCCAGCACACAACTAGAAGTATCAATGATGAAGCCAGGTCTACCTACCTGGCATCTAGCTTTACTGAAATTAACGATAGAGGAACTGAATATCTTATTTCAGCAATCACACGTGAACATAAATGTTACGGATAGTAATGGGTGGACACCTTTACATTTTTGTGCACGTTATAATCGATCAGATCTACTAAGTTTTTTGGTGGATCAGTGTCATGCTGATCTTAATGCTTTGACAAACGCGAATGAAGATGCATTAATGTTAGCTCTGTCACATGGTCACATCGATTTGGCTGAAAAACTTCTAAGGAAAGGATTAAAAGCAGATTTCAATCGAGTTTATCATGACGATAAAACGCTTCTAGAATATGCAATAGCTCAAAAGGCGGCCTCTTTTGTCAAATTATTTTTAAACATGGGTGCAAATCCTGATTTTTCAGCAGATAATGATATGTTTCCTTTACGTCTGGCTATTCAGACTGGATCAGTGGAAATTATTGAATGTCTGATTAATAGTGGTGTAGATGCAAAACGAACGTTTAAGGTAGTTGAACGAGATAAAGGTCCATATAAGCAGATCAATGATGCACTTAGAGTACGTCATTATGAATGGAAAATACTTAGCTATGTTGCATTTATGTGTAGGTCAAAAATTATGAGATATTTGATTGAGGAATATAAATTGCAGGATGTATCGTGGAAAACAGATATATCAATCATAGATGCATTCGCTAAGGGTGTGTCAATGAGTTCATTTGGTGATACAGTAGATATGATTGAAACCTATGATGCACTATTAAGGAATGGTTATGACCTTCACATTCAAGAAGAATTAACTGGTAAATACCCTATTCATATAATTTGCGACATGATAACAAGTTATGCAATAAATACAGAATTATCAATTATTCTTATCCTAGAATTAATTCATTTCAAAGCAAATATCAATGCAAAAGATTCCTTTCATCGGACACCATTGCATATTCTAGCATCACACACGAATAATCACCGACATCTTTATCGAATCTTAGTCAAATTTGGTGCACAGAAATATTTGGTAGATAGTGACGGACATCTAGCTACGGTCATAGCATCAGCACATGTTGCAAATGAACAAGTATCATTATGCAGGTAAGAGCTACCAGCTAATATTTTATGATACATATGTCTGCTGTGGTCTTCATATGACTGAAAAATGGAGACGAAAAAGCTGTTCTGATCATTAGCGAAAATCCTACGCTCTATCGAGCGCATTTAAATAAAACATCTGTCACTGTTTATATACTCGTTGCTGCATCCAGGGACTACCATAACTTTTCATGGTGGGAGCGATGCTTTCTATGAATGTTTGATCATGTGAATGAATCATTACACTCTCACCAATATGTTTAAGATATTCCATATTTTCAAAGATTCGAGTAAACCGAACCTTCATCACAACTCTTGAAAAATTTTGCATCACATCGCTTGTAGAGTCTTTTTTGTATGGAAAGTTTGCTTCATATTTCTGTAGAGTACTATACTTCGCTTCTTACGGTCTAGAAGCTTTCGTCGAAAAGTATTGTTACAGAACTGAAATATACTCACTGATTACGATCGATTAAGTATTACAAACATGTCGTATAGCTGCGCTTACAATAAGGTCTCGATAGTTGATAAAACCAAACTGTCTATAGGAGCAACTTTTGTCAACAGCTGAGAAAATGATGTAGAGTTTTTGATATTTTTAGCATCGACAAAGTTCGATCGAAAAGCAAATTTTATTTCCTGTCAGCAAAACTACGATTGCAGCGTAGAGACTTGGTCGACCTACTAAATAATAATGCACAAATAAGAAAACTATTACCATACAGTACAAAAAATTTACAACAAATTGAATTATCGGACGATAAAGATATCAGTAAACAATTAAAAACGATCAATGATAAGTATCTGCTATCTGAATACTTACTTGATTGGATCTTAAAACGAGCAGTTCAGTTCAAAGCAACTAGTGAAGAATCAGAAATTCGAAACACAATACAGAAGTTACTGAATGACTTACTAACTGCGATGGTACATATCGATGAGCGATTTTGCGACAGCCGATTAATACCATCAGGGAGTGGTTTTGAAGGTTTTAAGATGGATAAACCAGATGAATTTGATTTTTTATATGAATTTGGTACGAACGATTTTATTGCTGCGAGTACCACTCATTTTGTACCGACGAATGACCCATGTTATGTTAAAATAGCTGTTGATGACATCGAAATCCAATCAAAATGGAAAGATTTTATCGACAACAAAGAAAATTTATTGAATGCATCTAAACTTCGTCTATACATTGTTTTGTTAATGCAACAAGCCTCGTTCACGAATGCGTTCCGATCAAAATGGTGGCAACACGACTGCTTACAATTCAATCTTGTTCCTTATCATAAAAATGCTCTAAATTGCGGCACATTGATTAATCAAAGTAAAGTAGGCGCTTTACTACAAGTCGAATGGAACGGAAAAAAATATCAAAAACTTTCCATTTCAATTGATATTGCTCCCGCTATTCCGATATCACATCAATGGCCATCTGGAGCTAATAAACACTCGTTGCCGGTAATTGATTTAGACGACATTACACAATGGGGCTATCATCTAGTGACGAAAGCAGATTACAATCTGTGTGATATGTTTGCTTGGAGAATATCGTTTTCCTTATGTGAATATCAGATATTTTCTCGATTAAATTTATGTCAATCAGCATGTTTTACTATACTAAAGCTTCTACGTATGCCATTTGAAGATGTGCTCACATCATGGATGTGGAAATCCGTGTTTTTTCAACACCTACAAAAGACAATGAAAAATGATTGGGATATGCAGCGATTAAGCGAACATGTGAGTGCCTGTTTATCATATATGTGGCCAAATGAACTGACTGTTGAACCAAATCCTGTTCAATCATTTTTTATTCAACACCAAATTATCGATCCAACAGATGCTACACGCAGTTACAACGTTAAAAATATTTTTCTGGGATTAAACTACGTGAAATTTATTCAACAACAGCTTCTTAGAATTTTAAAAAGTAGTTAGTTACGACAGGCTGCACAACTCATCGGTACTCACTCTGTCTTTTCTGTCTTTTCATCGTACGTACAAGTTCGAACTTGTAACCATAGCTTTCTTCCTCTTTGGTGATGGTTCAATACTGATCGTTCTTTTTACCCCTGCCCCCCCCCCTCCTACAATAAAAGACCCGAGATCTTCTAAAATATTGAGTAAAATCAATTAAAACAAGTTCTCACAGGGTCTTGTATTACGCAAGGGTCTGTTTTAAGCAAATTCTGCTCAGATATGCTCAAGTTTCAGCAAATATTTTGCTCAGAGATGATTTTGAGCAGTCTCATGATACATAAAATTATTATTAGATTTCATACTAAAGAAAAAACAAGAAAAGCAAAACATGAAACAAAAAAGGATCAATGTGGGGTGTGGGTGTGAGTGTGGATGGGTGAGTGTGTGGATGGGGGTGTGGATGTGGGTGTTAGGTGGGTGTGGGTGTGGGTGTGGGTGTGGGTGTGGGTGAGGGTGTGGATGTGTGTATGGATGTGGATATGAGTGTGGGTGGATGTGAGTATGGATGGGCGTGGATGTGGATATGGGTGAGTGGGTGGTGTCACAGATCCGAGAAATCGGGTATCTTAGAGATCTCTACGGAGATCTTCCATATACCTAACAACACTACAACATTATATCGAATTATTACACTACAATGATCTTTTCTTTACTATCGCCAACCCTTCACGAGATCTCGCACCTCTAAAACACATAGAGTCTTTCATGATGTCTCTGCAACGGATGCCACGTGTCTCTACGTGTGAAAATTTTTTTTTTAATTTTAGCTGAGGAATGATGCTGAAGATGCATCTACAAGCAGAGATGCTGTATCTGTAATCGAATCTCTGTAAGTGATGCCGGATCTCTAGGATCTGCATCTCCAGGTGAAAAGATTTTTCTGTCAATTTTAGCCTAGGAATAATGCTGGAGATGGGTGTGGGTGTGGGTGTCAATATAGATACACTCAACGGCACTCACACCCACACCCCAACCTATATCGGATAAAATCTTCCTTAAAGTGTTGTCAACAGCTTTTCATAATGCAGATAAGCTTGATCATTTTATGAATCAGAAGAAAAAAATCGAGTTTGTTCGTTATTATACTGCTTTGATTAGTCGTTTATCTTATTTGAAATTACAACAATTGCAATGGAATTGGTATCATCATATCGGTGCGACAGAGAATATATGGATGGGTCGTATATCGAAACATATGATAGGTCGAAAACACTCATAGAACAGCGTCGTAAGAATATTAAACTAAAATTAGAAAAAATACAACAGACTACTCAATTGTTTGAAGAACAAATCATGAATAGAACTGCAAAATATAGTGATTGTCCAACTGAAATAAATACATTATTATCAGTTATTAAGGAATTCGTCCAAGAACATCATCAAAAACACATAAATGAATTCGAATATAAAAGAGAAACATTATTCTTAGATGCAGTCGATCATCATTTAGTTAATGAATTTTTCCATCTAAAACCAACTAAATCACAGGTTACCACAATGTTTCTTTAATATATTCATTTGATTCTAATCTTTTATAGATCATATTCGCGAGATGCATTTGGAAAGCCACAATAAAGCGATTGATGACTGAACAACAAGTGACTATATTAAAATACCGTCTTACATCAAATCAATTATCACCAGCATTCACTCTTCTTGACCACATGATAGATAATATTGATAGAACACTTGTAAAGTCTAATAATATAATTGAACAAAATGCATCATCCATTTCTACATCTGATCAATTGGAGAAATTGAGTCAAGTGAAACATGATATCATCCAACAAAGCATCATGACTGATGATAAAATGACACGAAATTTCCGAAAGATAAATAAATATGAATTATTCTTTTTATTTGCAAAATCATTACCATTTCAAAATTATTTAATTTTATCTTTATTCAATATTCCTACTTTTGAATATATCATATGAAATTTTGTCATCGTTACACATTAATATTATTCAGGATATTCTATTCTTTTGAAAATGAAACATATAAAATTTCTTTTCTATCTATTCTAGATGATGCATATATCTTTTACGCATCACCAGTATAACAAAATTAGAAGTATCATTTCTATTGTAATTTCAAGAAGTGGAATTTCATAAAAGAAGCGAGCATCATTTCATCGCCGCATATTTCCAATGCTTTTCTCTCTCAAATCAAATACTCCACTGAAGAAAGAAACAATGCTCACATACAAAATTCTTCAGCATAACACTTTATCTCCAGATATCAACATCTGCTATATAATAGCATTCCTCCCATAAAAATACTTACATTTTCCATTTAATCTTATGCAATTATAAATACACGTACACAGGTCAGTAAAGCTCTTATGTATTAATCTTCTGCTTTGAAATACAATTAATGCATAAAAACAGCGAAGAGATTTTTCGGTTTCTTTCCATTTAAGTCTGTTAATTCTCATTTCTATATGCAGATTTCTTCTCTTCTATCACCTGATGATTGATCTTTTAATAACAAAGATCGAAATCCGGATTGTGGTAGTTATCTTGAAACTCAATCCTCATCCTCACTCTCATTCATAAATAATAAACTTCTATTACAATCGATTTTTTTTTGTTATAGAATTTCAATAGTGATTAAATTGTATCAAATCAAGATTCAAGAGATAATACGACGAAGAAGATTTGCTGACAATGATATTCATTTATATAAATAAATAATTTTTATTTTATTAATTACTCTATTGATAGAAGAATATTTAGAAAACTGATTTATACTTCAAACTCGAAGAAAAATAATAACCGATCTATATGTATTTACTATATGATATAGACTTTTTAAAAG